ACTCCTCACAAGCAGTATAACCAAAACAGATTTAATACAGAAAACAGAAGAATCTTTGCTCCCATGGAGAGGCTATATGTGTGTGCGGGGAGTGAATGAGGCTTCAGACTAAGGCTTCACACACCCCACACTTCTGGGCTAGATTATACGGCCTGCTGAAATAAAAACTGCAGGAAAAACTCCAAAGGAACCAGGTTGATTAATGACTACAGCCAGCCCAACCTCACAGCCAACTAAAACAAAGGAATACCAAAAGAAACAAGGGGGAAAGACCAAGCCTGCCCTCTAGGCCTTGGCTGCAGGTGAGTTGGGTCACAGCTCCATTGGGTTCAGAATGTTGCAAGCCTCAACCCTTGCCCCAAACTGGCAGGATTAGGAACTCCCAGATTCCAACCCTGTTAAAGCTGCCAGGTTTAAATCCTGACCAGAAAACCCAAGGAACCAGTGCTCTTTCCCCAGTATTAATCCCTTAAAACCTCAAAAGAGAGGGGAAAAAAGGGAGGAAGAAAAGGAGGAGAATAGTTCCCAGACACTGGGACAATTCTCTCTCTCTCCCCGCTCTGAGATTCCCTTTTTGCTATCTGCTACTCCTCCTCCCTAGAAGGAGACACCGCTTTTCTGCAGCTGCTGGCAGCTTCTTCTCCCCCAAACAAGCCTAGCTCCCCCTATATCCCTTTTCATGACATCACCCTGGCCTTGTCCAGTTAGGGAGTACCACACTGCAGTCTCTCTCCTAACCAATCAACCTGAAGAATCCTCTGCTTCCCATGGCCAATGAGGCCAGAAGGTTTTACACATTTTCCCCAGATGCAGGCCCCGCTTGCCATGTGCTGAGCACATGGCCAGAACAACAGGGCCATCTTGCCCCTATCAAAACCCCCCCCCCCCCCCACCCCCCAACACCCCCCCGACACCCAAACACATTATACAACCCAGTGTGTGAGGGGGGTATTACAGGTTTGGTATTCACCATAGGAAAGGACATACGTAGATGACAGAGTGGTCACGTTGCCAATTCTGTTTATGGGATTATATAGCACTTGACTGAAGTTTAAGTTTGATAGAGAAAGAATCCACATTTTGCTCACCCAAAGCACAGAATTCATAGGAACCACGTTAGTTTTTAGATCTGCATGATGTTGTCTCCCACAGGGAAGATCCCAGACTATTGTGGGACTATTGTGGGTCCCAGACTATTTGACTCATCAGTCAAAACTGTAGTAATTTATAATGTTAGCAGACAGGACAGAGCAAGGTCATCTCCATTTTGTCAAGAAACCATTTGTCTCCAGCTCCAGTGCATTCTTTATCACATTGTACCAGTAGCCTTTCATCTACCAGGTCTCAAAAATTTCCCCCTTAACTACATAACATATGAAGTCAGTGCTTTCTGGTCTTTGGGAGAAGAACCCATGTGGAAAATCGTGTGAAGAAAAAAAAGTTACTTATCTTACACTAACTATGGTCCTTTTAAATACATTGCTCACTTGGATCTGAGAGTCCTCTCCCTTTTCCTGCTCTGTGAATTCCTAGCTATAGATTTTTCATTGGCAAAGGAGGAAGACATTTGACATCCGTCATGTTCTTGAATACAGTGGACCAGAAAGGAATCCGGGGTGAAAGCTATAATAGAAACTGCTAGCCAAAATGAATCCAGTCTCATGTCCATGAAGTGTGTACACCCACAAAAAGAAGTTTTATGGGCAACACAACTCAAATAAGCATGGTTAATGTAAGATAGTCAACTGTTCTTTTTCCTCACAAAATTAGTGGGATTTTAATTTATTTTATTATTTATTTATTTATTTTTGGAAATGGATCAACCCAGAAACTTTGGGGAAAATCTTGATTACATTTGAAATAATTTTGCTCAGATAAACTTTATGTCCTGTTGGCTCATTACAGATATTCCCACAAACTAGTCCAGTTCAACCCAATTGCCAATTTCTACTTAGCAAAGATCTCAAAGTCGATGGATAGGGAAGGGAAGTTGAAGGTTAGGATTGATGTTTATTTGGTAAAGCCGCATGGAGCAGCTTTTTCAATGCTCACTCCCCCATAATAATTCTTTTGTTTTACAGATTTATTTTCCTTTTTTAACATTCACTCATATACACTCCTTATTTTTTCCTTAGCCTTTTAGGCACTGCTTTAATCAGTGCAGTTGTTATGGGGTAGTAGTTGTGATGTAAGCGCATGCTACAGTTAAGGGAGTGCTTAAGTGTTTTAGCAAATAGGGATAGTTTGCTGATTCAGTACTTTAGTGAGCAGAGATGTGGGTTAGGGTCTGAGAGGAACAGAAAGCAACCGTGAACTTATAGTTTCATTGATTCAAATAAAAGGACTTAGATGTAGAGCTATTCATTCAGGTAGCAGCGGCCTCCAGCACTTCGGTGGGCTTTGTAAGCAAAGTAATTCAAAAGAAAAGCCCTCAGCCCAGCTTTAAAGTCTTAGGAATGTGTTCACTGTGGGAAGAAAAAGTTCTTATAGGTAAGGCCCTGTTAGAGGAAAGCCTTTAGAGCTATCTACTGTATGTCTACTTAAATCTAAGGGAAAGCTCTTCAGACCACCCACATCTTTCTCTGCTTCATTGTTGTTTTCAGTTTGCTTTTTCAGAGGGATTAGTGCTAGAGTAAACTCCATAGTCTCACTGCCTCAAAAAAATTCAATTTTGCGTAAAGTGAAAATTAGACTCTTAAATCTGCAAGGCGAGCTGTTTATCTTACAAATGTATTCTTTTTTATTGGGCCACACATATTCTAGATAGAAAGATAAAAGGGAAATGGATAACAGGCCATCATTTAGAGTGACATATAGCAAAACATAACTAGTAGTCTTGTTCTGTAAATTTATCCTGAGTGGCTTGTTAGCTTTATCTATATATTTATCTATAATGTTCACACAATATTTATTGAAAACTAAACTAAAATCTCTCAGTATCATCATGCATACTGTATTTTGTATTTCACAGCCTCAGAAATGTTTTTTTTCTCAAAGCAGTTCTGGACATTATCTTATATAACTGTCCTGTTACATGCCCCTTACAAAGTAGTAGAAAACCAGCATCCCTTGAGGAAATTGGAAATATAGGATAGTACCGATATGTGTCTGTCCTTTTATTGAAAAGCAACATATAATCTGCATTATGTTACTTTTAAATACTTGTGAATAATTCAAAATGCCAGCTACTGCCCTTCTAATTTAAATGCTGTCTTTTAACTTTGCAGGTTTCAAGCAGAACTTAAAACTTTTACAGAATATTTGTCAGGCATGTGTTTATTGTAGAATACTATCCTTTTTTAGCTTAATATGATCTTTGCAATGATCTTTGCATTTATATGGCTGTGTATATTCCCAGTGGTTGTGCTAAATATATTTCAAACATAGATATATCTGGCTTTTCACAAAGAAATTATATTTTTATCTGATCAGGTACATTGGAAAAAACTAGCTGGGGATTTAGAACTTTTGACTTTTGTTACCTAATTATTAGATTCTCATAATGCTTTCAACTGTGTTAGGTAAGAGCGTTTTGTTGTTGCAATTAAAAATGTAATTGTTAAGGCTATTCACGTATGTCTCTAGCTGTTCTCTCATTTTCACTCTCACTGTGTCTTCAGTACACCCCTATCTGAGACTGCTTCAAAAAAGTGACAATGTTCACCATAGTTTAGCATATAGTTATAATATCTACAGTTGTTTCCCTTTTCAGTAATGTGGTATTTATGTCCATGCTAATGTATATATCCTTTTTATTAGTCAAGTGTTTACATACTTTTGTTTTGTCCATCACTTCTAAGTAAAAAACAGCACCATATAAGTTAGATTTCATTCTCTAGCAGCAGAACAGATACTTTAATCAATAGTTTATGGGGGAAATTATCAAGATTTAAATATGGCCTTCCTGTTAATATCATTGGGTATCACATAGCTCAACTTCTGCATATAACTTTGAAAATATGTTTCTGTGTATTGTGTTTCTCGGTTGTGACAATATTGTTATTCCATTTCTGCACTTACCATCCTATTGTCTGATGTACATATGCCACATATTAAATGGGAACTCTTCATAAATGCTTGATAATATTTGGGATACATGATTGGTTTGAATAAAAAATTTAAAAAAATACCCTATGTTTTTTGTAATTTTTGGTCAGTCCTTTGCCTGAATTGTAACCCACTTTGTTCAGAACCTACTTGAATGGTAACTTGTCAGTTTGTTCCAAGTGGTTGAAAACAACCAGATTTTTTAAAATCTGAAGATGATAATGGTGTCCTAGGCACAAGAGCCATGGTAATAAGATGCAATGTGTAAGTGCAGCCTTGTATGTCAAGAAAGAGAAACAAAGCAGTTGAATATTGCTCAGTGGTTGCGGGAAAGACAGTTCTCTTCAATTGGCCTGCTTGTCCTTTGGTGTTTCCTGATATTAGGCCTCTCAAAAAGACTCATGCAGCCGAGCTCCATTGGTGGAAAGCCAAGGAAGAAAATTGACATAGTCTGTCCGCAGGAAAGGAAATAATGCCCAAAAGACTGTCACTGCAGTCTTCCCCATTATTACCACAACTGTACCGCTGTTTTTGTTTTTAAGATACGAAATACAAACTTTTTAAAATCTAAAAATGTGCAGCTCTTTTACAATAATTAGAAATTAACCAGCTTCAACACAATAACATTTTAAAACTTTTTTTTTTAGGGGGGGGAAATTAGTAGGAACTAAGCAAAAGAAGAAATCAAACCAGCTGCTGACACAGCTGTTTCTTTTCTTGTATAATTCAGTTCAATATAAAGGTACCATATGCTGCTTAAAATGATGATAGGAAAGATGAAATAATTTAAGAGAATAACAAGAAAATACATGAATTGTCAGCATTCTGTCAGATTTAAAGAATGAAATAGACAGGTGTAGTATTGACATGTTTAACTTTGTGTTGTGTTAGCAGTTTTAGTGAGAACAACTTCTGACATGTGCTGAAGTGATGTGAGAACATTTCTGTTTCAGACATCGGAGAAGAAGCTGGGAGATCTGTAGGAGTCCAGCAGCCAGCTTTACTGAGAGACAGGAGTCTTGGTTCTGCCATGAAAGACTGTCCCTATTGTGGAAAAACTTTCAGAACATCACACCATTTAAAAGTCCACTTGAGAATACACACAGGTAAGGGGATGAGAAGAATATGGCATTGATGGAAAGAGTCTTGTGTGGGTGTGTTAAAATACACATCTGGTTTCAAGTTTTAATTTCTAATTTAGGTGAAGATGTGGTAGTTCACTCAGAAGATCTTTCGGGAAAGATATATGGCAATCTTCTTAAATAAAAAGCTTATGGACATTTGACTGGTGAAAAGATAACTTGAAAAGACTCATCTTTCC